TCCAATTTTCCAAAATTCCAATTTTCCAAAATTCCAATTTTCCAAAAAAACCAAAGAAACCAAAAAAACCAATTGTGCCAGGACTTTGCCTCACCCCCTCTTCCCCCCATGGTCTGTGCAGAATTGGTTTTTTTGGTTTCTTTGGTTTTTTTGGAAAATTGTAATTTTGGATTTTTTGATTTCCTGGGATGTTTTAAATTTTCAATTTCCTTGGAAGTAGACAATACTACCACTTTCTCTCAATTCCAGAACAGTCTCTGAAACCCTCAGTGATTTGTTCATTAGGGTCTAATAATGCTCCTTCTGCTCCTTTAACTCGAAAATTGGTAATACCTGACATTTTAGAATTATAACCAGTAAAATTGACATCTGCAATTTTTTCAAATGACATACCAATAATGAATTTGTTCTTTCTGTATTGACGATACGAAAAACTTAAACTGTCATGTACTGTATAGCTCTTCTTAAATAGTAAAAGATTTATGATAATGATTGCGCTTCAAATTCTGTGTATTTCTGGGAATTGCTTAATTGAATTTGCCAACTTAAACTACGGGTGGCATCTTGAAAACCTTTGTACCTTGTAAGTCGTTTGTATCAGCATTACCAGTATCATTAATTCTTCCATAGATCATAGGATTAATTCCATCTCTTATATACATAATTGTCAGGTAAGTATCGGTTCAGTTCTTCACCACTCCTTGGAGTTCTAAATAAGGTAATGAATGCTCCAGTCAGTTTAGAAGATGATTTTACAATATTCATATTAATTTCACCACCACCAGCATTGAATGTTTGGGCGATTGTGTGATAACAATTTGCAATGTTTCTTATCTTTGCCATTCCGCCCCCTTCTATGTCCTGCCATTCTAACACTCAATGGCTGACAAGTAGCACCAATATAGACATCGTCATTTTGTCATTTAGTATTCTGTAAAATTTTGCCTTGGAGTAATCCACCATAACATTACATATTTTAACTAAGTTTAAATGTTGTTTTTTAAATGAGTGATTGGGGTTAAATCCATTGCTTATATTGGTGCCGGGATTGATGTTCCAAAGGCCGTTCCCTTCAAAATTGATATAGCTGTGGCTCATTAAAGGGTTAGGTTCTTTCAAATCAGAAGTTACAGCGTAACCATCCAACATTGAAACAATATCGGATGGATTGAGGTAGTCAAGTCTTTTGGGACTTTTGTTCCTTTCCTTTTTGTTTTTATTGTAGGGGTAGCATAGGTTGTTGTAGCAAATGTATTAGGTTGTTCTTGATTGATCTTATTACAGCACTTGCAAGGTTATGCCCAACCAAACGGGTTATTTCTGGTGACTTTTCCAATTCTTCTATAACATGTTTGTATTTCTCACTGTGATGAACAGGTCTAGTAGGTACTAATAACAGATCATCCATAATATCCCTTGTTAAAGATCCATCACAACCACCTGTGCCACTTATGTATAAAGTCTTACTTGTTTTGTAAAAAGCACTTGGTGATGAATAGGCATTCCATAAGCCCCTGCGGTCTTCTATCTTCTCCTTGTTTGCTATATTTTTCTCTTCAGCATATAGTGTTCTATGTTGTTTAAAGTGATCATTTAAGTTTCTTGTAAAGTCATTCATTCTATCATTCCAATTATGGTTCTTTTTTTTCATAATCACTGTAGGTTTCTTGACCGATCTTACTGAATAACATCTGGGCGCTTCCAGGCAGATCCTTCCAGGCAATGTCAGACACATCAATCATTCTCAAGAAAACGCATGAAAAAGGTTGAAAAATGCTCATTTTCATCGAAAAACGCGCCGCTCACAGCGCTCCCCTCTCAACCTCAAAATCCTGGCCAACGGCATTTAAGGTCATTTAAGCTCTAAGCCCCCCAACAGCTTAAAGGAGCTCGTCTGGAGTATATAGACGATGTTCTTAGACAATCTCCATGCTCCAATTCAATCCCACCAACCCTGACCTGTCCCTCAATGTGTAAGCAGCTTGAACAAGCCCTTTGTCTGGGACACTCTCCAAGAGTAGGAAAGGGCCCCGCGCCGCACACAGTCCGCGAACAGAAAACCTCCCCAACTCCTCAGGTCGGGTGGATTTGTTTGGACTCCTTTAGTTTTCCTGAAAAATGTAGTTGAACTCTTAAGCTTTTCCATGTTCACCTGAGATTCACCTTTATTGTATACTTATACCTGTTGGACCGGATTTGTTCGATGGTTTGAGTGAGGGAACCCACCTCCCCCATGTGATTAACTGGTTCCTGCAGGTTGAGCCCCCCTAACCCGCCCGCGGTTTGTCCTGCTGCATGAGGGCGGAGACCTAGAAGGCTGAGATGTGTTTCTTTGTTTTGTTTGCGACGGTACCTGGCTTAAATTCCAAGAAAGGGCTCTGGGAATGGGTCTGGGTGGTGTTTAGAGCCTTAGACAATGGGTAACGGTAGCTCGGTAGCTCAAAAATTTAGACTTCAAAAGCAACTCAACTCCCATGGAACTCCTGGAGCCTGGAAGGATCATAACTGCAAGGATCTTCCTCATAGACTCCATCAAGCTTGTGAATTCACCAGTATCACGAGCACCACCCTGGATCCAAAAACATCTTGGCGATGAAGACTTCTCAAGCCAATTCACCAGAATCATGCCTGGCTTCTTGACATTTCTTGTCCACCCCAAACCCACCCAGGTTCGGGATTTCGATGGTCTTTAACATCTCTCGTCTCCTTCACCAACCCCATCACTGCTCACAGGTCAGAACTTCACTCGGTTGCCCGACCAGGTCCTTGGCCTCTGCGGAGATGGACTGCCACACCTCCCGGTCGAGGGGATTTCTCGCAACAGCGCGGAGGGCCGAGGCGTCCGAGGCGTTCTCGAGGGTTCCGGGCACCGTAGTGTCCAAACGCCAGGAACAAGATAAGAAGAGAAAACCAGCCGACACCTGTAGCAAAGGCTGGCCAAAAGAGGACATCATTGGATGGAAGTAAGTATAATATAGTATAATGATGGCAACCAGTTGAACAGACTCTGAACAGATGATAGCTTCGTGGTATTAGCTTTTCAGCTAACCACATTAACCAAGTATCTGAACGAAGTGTTCCTCTCGTACTGACTTCGATTACTGTAGTGCTGGTCTTAACTGGGTTTTGACATGCTTTGACTAGGCAAAGCTCTAACTACATAGTAGAGCAGTCAACCCCTCTACAGCACAATTAGCTTGATTGGGCATCCAAACCGGACCCAAAGGCTAAGCATTGTCGCCTGGAGCTGCAATCTGGAGCCTAATGGATGCCCAGTCTGGTGGTGTAGCGTAACCCCTTACTAACCCAAACCAGCGATTCCATATACCTAGGCTGCCTAGTTGCTAGCTGCTAAGCCCCCCCAAATCGGTGCAACACACACACACACACCCTCAACAGTCCTCAACAGTAGTAACTCGCCGTCGCCGCCGTCCACCTTCCCCAGTGACCACGAAGATCCTCCCAAAACCGACGATCCCCATCACCTCGGAGGAGAAGCTCCAAAGGCCCTGCACAATCTCAAGCTCGACCTGGCCGAGCTAGGTCTAGGTGCAAGCGACTGAAGGTCATCTGGGTGCATCTGGGCGTTCGGTCGCCGTGTGCTAGCTAGTAGTAGGCCGCAGGAAAGACTTCCCTGCGGCCTAAGAACAGCGCAACATATTGTTCGTGTGTTGGTGACTCCCTGACTGGGTAGGATCTAACTTCAGGAAGGGATCATAGAATTCGGGGGGGGCCAAGCTGTCAAGGGTGGCCAGAATTTAGATGGATTCGTATACATCTTCAGTACTCCCTACAAAATCCAGTCGTACCTTCTCAGGTACGGTGAGGACGGAGACACTGGTATGTAGGTGCCAGGAGGGTCCAGTCGTTCCGAACCTGAGAAGATACGACTGGATCCCCAATCACCCCTGATTCCCTCGCCTCCAGGTCCTGGCCGCTGCACCGAGACCCAGGACATCCCAGGACCCAGGAACCGCCCACGAAGGACCAACGCTGACGCGATCCAGGAGTGCATGGCGAATCCCCATGGGTAGACCCCCTGCTTTTGATCCATGGCCCCTCGACCTCCAGTCGTACCTTCTGAGAAGGTGGGACTGGGGTAGGTGCCAGGAGGGTCCAGTCATGCCTTCTGAGAGGTACGACTGGAGGTGTAGGGTGCTCAACACCGCGCCCATCGCCACATCTTGATCCGGCACCCCAAAGGGGGCGAGAGCTGCGAAGTCTCGGCGGGAGAGTGGGTAGTCTCGGCGTTTCTCTCGTGATCCCCAGCGGACTCTCAGTCAGTGTCCCTGATATCAAAGGTCACCAAAACCCCACCCACACACGACGTGCGGTCACACGGACGTCCGCTTTTTTACCACGTGGGGTGCTTGAGGGTGTAGCTATATAATGCATGGAAGTGGAAAAACTACCCTTTGTAGAGGACAACGGTCTTCCAAGGGGTTCTTGTCCGCTTCCATGATTGGTAAGAGAGTGACCTTGTTCCACCTGTTCTGGTTTACAGTGGTGTGCGCCACCGCAGTCCGTGGGCCTTGTTTTGACTTTCGAAGGCTCTCTCTCCTTAGGCTCTTGCCCGGGTGGACCGCGGCGTTCCGGCCGACGACTGCGGCGGCGCCAAACACGACCGCGGCGGCGAAGCCCCAACAAGTGGCGGTGGACGGCGGGGGACGTGACGAGCTGGAGATTGAAAGCACGATTCTTCAATGAACCCCAAAACTGGAAAACTTCAAACCCCAGAGCCGGTCCTCTAACCTGGTCACCAAATTGCAACCAACCTAGACCAATCGCACCTTTTAGGGAAATAATATTGGACAAATAATAAGAGCTCCTTATAGAGCCTTCATTGACCCTAACCTTTCTCTATAGGGAACAACTGGCGTTGATTGGAAAACACGGAACACGAAGGGTTCACAATTGTGCAATCTGCGCATTGCGCATGAACTCCTTTTGAACTAAGCTGAAGCACCCAAGCAACTGTAATACACATACATGCGCAGGCTTTCAATCGGACACGGGTTCTGTCTAACATTGTCTAACAACACCTATTGTATAATAGATGGAAGGGAAATGAAGGGAACATAAAAACAACACGGGGCTCTACGATGCTCTAAGTATTGCTGAGTTGCCGTCCTGCAACACAAATATCATGCAAAAGGAACTGAAACATAACACATCACAGTGGGCAATGCTGGAGGCTCATATGAGAGAAGCACACTCGAGTTTGGGCTCCTTTTTTGGGGGCCCAACGTGCTTCGCTTCTTTTCACCAAAGGGCTCTCCGGGTTGGCCACACCCCGACGTGCCCTCCCCCCCCACAAAAACACGGCGGTTGGAGCAGCAAGCGTCCGCTCAGCATCACATAGACCACCACGCCGAGGCTCCATCTGGTGCAAAATGGCTGACACCCAAACGACTGAAGATCAACGACAACCCGGCCTAGCTTTATTGCTGCGAAAGGTGTTTCTCTTTTTAAAGGTGCATTTGGATTCTGACCTTGGCCTTGCCAGCGAGATAGAATAGAATCGACTACCAAGAATGGTCAAATGACAATGATTTGGTGGGGGAAGAACTGGAAACACAAACCCTCGTGACTAGTGGCACCCCCCAAGTCTCGCCTGATAAAAGCCAAGTAACCGAAGCGCCAAGTGGATGGACCCGGCAACTTCCAAAAAATGTGAAACAAAGAGTGAAGAAATGTCAAGAACATCACAGCATTCCCAACGCCCTCCAATACACACGCACTCTATTTTTGGTGTTCTGCGCTCTTCCCACCGTTTAGCACCATAAAGTACCATAATGTCTTAGATTTGCGGCTCCCAGAACACAAGGACACATCCAGAAGGATTCACCCAGTTCGAGAACAAGTCCTTCAAAATCTCCCTACGATTCCGAGAACCAAGCAGCACCCTTAGGATTCTCCAAAAGGACCCTCCCTAACATCCCCAAAAACCAAGTTGTCTTTCGCTTCTCCAAGCAGCACCCGCATTGCCAAGTCACAAATCTGCTGGCTTCCCATAGCCCTCAGCGCTCGCGACCGACCGGCTGGGCGAACGCCCAGCTCGCCGGCCCTTCTTCAGGGCCAAATGGATCACTTCGGGAGCTCGGTAGTCGCGAGAACCCAAATAGGTACGGCAGTCCTGGCGCGATGGTTTCCGTCGTCTCTGCGGAGACCCTAAGAAGTAGCGTTGTCCCAGTGTTTTTCGGGGGTTCAAGGGGGAAAGGTTTGAAACAAGTGGAAAGTATTGGAAAGCCATGTCGTGTGATGTCGTGTGCCACTTGCTCGAATTTGCAAATCAGTGCGCATCCCGGAGTCCAGGATGCTGCAATGTTCAACACACATCTTACTGTGCGGTTTTGATTTGGTCGTGGCTAAGCCATGGTCTGCCGGTAGCCATCCAGAACAATCATGGTTTTGCGGAAGGGTTGAGACCTTCCAGACTTCAACAAAATGGCACAATCCGACCGTTGCAAATAATACAGCTGTTGGTTCGGTTCAGTTGGATACTACCTGTCAGGACAGTTTACGACCATGCCAAACCAGTGCTTTCCTTCGGACTATTGGCCCCAAATCCAGGAACTTCCCGTATTCACCACCACAGGTGACTCGCGAAGAAGGCCCTGAAACTCCAGAAAACAGTTTAGTTTATGTTTATCTATTTTTTGTGTTGCGCACCATTGTGAGTGATTGGCCAGGTGCCATTCTAAGATTCCAAAGCACACTGTAAGGTGGCAAGGTATAGTATAAGTGGGTTGACCCCCGACGTCCGCGCCACTGTGGTCACCAAACGCCACACCGACGCCGCAGCGGTCCTGGCTGCTCATTGTCCAACGAGAGATGCCAAAGTCGGAGATCTTCACGGCCGTAGTGGCGCGATCGCTGCTGGTGAGGAGGAGGTTTTCAGGCTTCCTTGGTCAGAAGTAGACGCCAGAAATAGACGATCTATACCAGCATCCTCCAACAGCATCCTCCAATTGAGACCTGTTGGGGCCCAAGAACCCTCTAAAGCAGACCTGTTGGAGGATGCTGGTAGAATCTATATCCCTAGGGCTCCAACCATATCCTCAGCTTAGGTGGTTATAGACTCCCCTGGCACCCACCCCAACCACCGAACCTCAGGAAGTAGTTGGAGCCCGAGGGTATAGGTCGACCAATGCTGCGGATACGGGGCACCGAAGCCCCGCACAGATCCCACACGAATCCAATGGCCATCATGCCTGGCAGGTTCAATCATCCCAATGTATTTATGCGAAAAAAAAAGAAGAACACGTACCAAGGCCTTCAAGGGGTAGTTAATGGACACTCCTTAACGGCTAAGGGGCTATAAATAGACACCCCTTGGAGGGTCCTGGTAGACTTGGTTCACAAGCTACTTTGCATTCTTGCATTCTTGTTCCCTCTTTAGAATATTGGAGACTTCTTTTTTCACGACACTGTCACCATCATCCACTCTCAATCCATGTCCCCTTCAACAGCTATCCAGCTGCCCACGTCTCCTCCGGTGCGTTCTTTGCCCGACCCCTCGCAGGTGCCATGCGGTGATTCGGACCATACTGTGATGCTCCAGTGGAGGGACTCGGAGCGCCACGCCCCGGCACGCCCGGCACGAAGACCCCAAAGCAGCCAGGTCCCATTGGGACCTGAGTGCCTCACCGCTATGCCTCCGAACGAAAACCCAGCCACCCAGCCATGCCAGGTGTCAAGTCCCGATGCACGATGTTCCTGACGTGTAAGCGCACGCGCGTTTTCGACGTCCCAGACGTCCGGTGCGAGGACGAGAAATGGCAACATGGCGATCTCAGTGATCTGAAAGATCTGTACCCTAGGCTTCCAACAACCATTAATTCAATAGGCTTTACCAAATCAACTACGGATTTTACACTACAAAAACCAGGTCAACCATTTTTTAAATGGTCTTGGAAGTCTAGGGGTAAGCTTCTGCACCCAATCCCTCACATCGCAAGGCAGTTGGCCTCCTCCACACGGCCCCACACAGCCTGGAAGAACACCTTCAAGGGTATTGATCTCAGCTGAGATCAATCATAGTGATTTGCCCCTAGGAACCGAGGAAGGATATCCTCCCAAACGCTCCAAACAGCCCTTGGTCCCTCAAAACCTAGGGATTTGAGGGTGCGGACCCCTCCATATGAGGGTCGGGCCCCTACTTAGGAGGGTCCAGGGTCGCGTCTGGGCTCAAGAGATGTACCCATCTACAACCTGGCACCGCACCGCTGGCACCTGCGCACTACGCTCGCCGCGCGTTGAAGCGCCCACACAACCCTACCCACGCCTGCTGTGCACATACTCCATGGCGCTGCCGAGCTCCTTCAGCAAGCGCCGCGCGTGCGGCTCCAAGAAACGGCCCTGACGGATGAGGTCCTGCAGCATGTCCCCGCCTCGCGCTGGAGAGGGAGGTCCATGGGGTCCGTGAGGGTGGTCCATGGTTCGGGCCTCCCTGGGTTCAGAGTCTCCAGAGGTTCCCATCAAGACCAGAGGCCCGGTTGGGGTCCCTGTTGGGGTCTCGATGTCATAATTTCATGCATGTGTGATCAGGCCGTTTGGACCCTCTAAAAGGGCCGTGTCTTTGATCCGGAGGATGTGTCTTTCTGACAGCCGGACCCGCGTCCCGACCCGCGGCTTTGTGAGAGCCGGACCCGCCAATTAGAGCCGATGCAAGAAGCAAAAGGCGCAAACATCCAAGCCACCTGAGATGTATTCCATCACCAGGCACACACGATCTTCGTCCTAGTGCAGGTTGGAGGGTGGTCATGCGGGTGGCTACTGTTCTTGGGATTGATTGGCAGAGTACAGCAAGGTAGCCAACTTTGATCTTTGGATCGGCTCGCCCAAGTCTACACATTGACATGTTAAGTCTTCATGTTTAGCATGTCCACTTGAGACAACTTGAGAAAGAACGGATGGTGGTTCCAGAACGGACGGAGAATCTGCCACATGCACAAATGTCCCACCACGTCCCCCTGCAAAAGAGTGGATGCTTCATGATGCTTCGCAACGACCTGTTCGTCATTCTGCTGACGACCTGTTCGTCATTCACACCCCCTTCTAAGGAATGCACGCAACTGGACGCATCGAACTTCCTTTTTGATCAAAGATCTGCCACACGGACCCCAGACGCGACCCGTCTGGGATTGCCATAGTCGGACTGCCGAGTTTCACGGCCGGTGCCAGAAAGGGTCTGTCTGGGGCGGCAGTCCGTGTAGGCCCATGGGTACGCGTCTGGGGTCCGATTCAAGGGCGAACGCTCGATGGAACGGCGAACGGCGCTGGCCTTCGCCTTCGGTTCCAGGCGCTTCGAAGCAACGTGTTCGGAAGGAGTCTGGGAGCCCTCCACCCGGACCCCCAAGGCTTCCCCGAGCCCTCCCACGGCATGAGGGCAGCTCTCCTCCAAGACTTCCTGGAGCTGCACAATGTTCGGATGCTTCAGCTGCCGCATCAGTTCGGCCTCGCTCCCCATGCTCGGCTCCTTCGCCACTGGGCTTTGTGACGGTGCTGAAGTGGCGGCTGAAGTGAGGCGGTGCTTCTGGATGATTTTCAGGGCCACCTGCAACAAAGGAAACAACCCATTGGCCCACCTTCCATATCTCAAAGGCTTGAAGACTGTCGATGATTTAGGACCTATGGATCCACTGCCACCATACCTCAGAAGGTACGACTGGACCCTCCTGGTGCCTACATAAATAGTCTCCAATCACCGTACCTCAGAAGGTATGTGGATCCATAGGGAGGTAGATTAGGGGACACATCTGTAGATGCTTGCTTTCGGAGTGCAAATCTGGCCTTTGCTGGAGACTCCAGTGTCCGTGATGCGGCTTGTTATGTGTGACTGCGGAATGGGCACGGAAAGAACAGTATAGTAATATATAGATGCAACATGTCCGCGTTCAGTGATAAATTTATCTTCCTGTCTCCATGACTCACCTACAAGCAAGATCACGCACCACTATCTGCAATGAGCAAGTGGCTAGAAGGGCCAACAACTACCGATGTACTAGTACACCAACACATCGCAAAGAGATAATTAGGTCACTCACGACCCAAAAAGAAAATGCCTACTTCCGGGAAACTGCTTCTCCCTTGAGTTACCCGCCCACTATGCAAAGGGTTTCTTGGATTTGCTGATATGGTGGAAGAACCTGGGGCAGCTGGCTGCTAACTGCATGGGCTGCAATGGTTGACTTCAATTTGCTGTCCAGGAGCCGGTGCAAAATCACGCATCTTCCCATGCGCAGGGGATTCACCTAAAACAATATAATCTATACGTAATCATCCAATCCGCACCACTGGGTCATTTGACCCACGAAAACAATGCCGGACATGGGGCGTGGAGGCGCGGGATGGAAAACCCCCTCCCCTTTCTCGCGCCCCTCGGTGTAGACGATCACAGCTTCGAAGCTTCGGACTCGGAGCTCTCCGTTTCTCTTTGCCAGGTGAACCTTTTTCCATTCGGTGTCCTCCTTTTTATGAGCTGAACCCCGCCCCCCAAAGGGTTCGGTGTGCAGGTAACACGACTTGCAATCTCAGCGCTAAGAAACGCCCCTCGTTACAGCTCATCGTAAGATGCAAGAATTTAGGAATCAACCACTGGTGAAGATACAAAAGAAACAGAAGGTGTATAGTACCCTATACCCAATGTGTTCTTCCACAGAGTTCCCATCTCAGACTGTTGGAAGCTACACGGACCGCATCGACCACCCCGGTCGCGACCGCGCCTGGCAGGATCCCGCTCCGTCCGCTCCGTCTGCCCGCCGGCGCTTCTCGGCCAGGAGTACGGAGCGATCGGCCATCTTGCTCAACACATCCGTCACCTGTGCCGTTTGGACGAAACAGTGACTACAGTGCTCAAAACATTGAGAATAGCACAACAAAGAGTCAGGGGAGTCAGGGCGAGGGATTTGGAAAAACTTGTTGCGTGTTCTTTGCTACCCTTAGCCTTGATTCTGCTTTAGCCTTGATTCTGCTTGCAGTTTCCGGACCTGAACGTTCCTCTCTTTGGACCATAGGGCCTTTTGATCTGATGAAAAACCTGTTAAACTTCGAAAACATTAGCACCGGTTGAAACTCATGCTGAAACGAAAAGAACACTTTGTTTATCTGTTTTAGACCATGAGCCGCGTGCACTGCAAATAGGAGCACGTCAATCCAACGGCATCAAGAAACAAAATGAAGTAGCACACCCTTGAACCCCAATGGCTCTGGATCCAAACAGGAACCCGCCCCAAAAAATTGGCGAGCTTGATGCTTCTCTGCAAAGAGTTTATTGATCTTTTGGCTCCCATTGAAGACACACACACAAAAAAAAGAACAAGAATACAACATTAAAGCATAAAACATCTTCCCAAGAAGAAGATTCGCCCCTTCTTGTATGAGGAACACTGAATTGGGAAAATCGACAATGACTTGAACAAAACCAGGAAAATCAAGGTGGACTGTCCTTCAGGGTCACGACGTCAAGCTGTTGAGCTTGACGTGGATGGGATGGTCTCGCGGTCCCAGTCGAACCGGTGGATGGTCACCAACTTGCAACCCGTTTGCAACGACCCAACTCACCGGCAAGTTCGGAGTGTCTGGACTTGATGCGAAAAATATCGATTTTTTTTATTGACATCTCTTGACATCTCTTGACCTTGATCCGGTCGCTTTTTCATGTGACAAGGGGGGCCTTGAAGTCTTTCAATAGTTCATCTTCGCCCGGGCCGGCCGCCGTGGAGGCCACTGCTGGGGCGGAAATGGCTTTCCTGGGCACCGGCATGCTGTGCTCCGTGTTCTTGCAAATTTGGTGATCGTCTGGACGTTTGTGCAGGAGGTGGGCCATCAGGAGGTAGTGCAAAATTGCAAGGCCACATGAATTCCACAACCCCCAAACCCTACACCTCCAGTCGTACCTCCTCAGAAGGCCTGGACCCGAACATGGCACCCACCCCAGTCCCACCGAACCTCACGAAGGTACAACTGGAGGCCTACACCGGGCCCTTGGACTGCGACCAGTTCATTCTGCCGCATTCTGCACACCACACCACTGCCAGGTCATGACCCAAGCATCTTGCATGGCGACGGCATCATCTGCAACGCTCGCGCTCGACTCATCGCGTCGGCCGCCCGCTTCGCCCGCTTCTGCCGAGGGCTGGGATAGGTAAGGAGCTCCTGCGTGAAGGAGATATCCTCCTCCTTGCAGGCTGTTCCGGGGCCGAGCATTCCTGTGGTCGGCACAAAGGAGTAGTGGTGGCAAAATGAAGAATATATTCACTTACAAAGGCACTTACAAAGGCCTGGAACAAGATTCACACCAAACATGCAGTAGATGGACAACATATTCGAACCCCTGAGTCAGGGAGCTGTCACGACCCCCTTACCCCCAAAGTTCAATGTTGAAAGCAAGTTCTTTCAATTTGCATTAGGGTTTGATGTGTTTGGTCCATTCGCCCCAAACACTCTGCCAGGCTTGCTCAGATTGGGTTTTGGGGTGGAAGGAGTCAACGTGGTTTGGATGATTTTAATATTTCGTCCATCTATGGAATGAACACATGCAGGGGGACATGCTTTTTGTTTTGCAAAGTTCTCCACAAAAACATGTTTCTGTCTTCCTCGTTTGCTGATTGGGCTTACCTGCTGCTGGTCATTTGTTCTGGTGAATGTGCACTTGGTGGGCCATTTCCTCGTAAAACCAGCCTTAGGGATCCAGTCGTACCTTTTCAGAAGGTGAGGACGGAGACACTGTTATGTAGGTTTGGAGGGTCCCGTCGTACCTTCTGAGAGGGTACTTGGATCCCTAGGGTATAAGGATATAGTGGAAGAACCTGGAGCAGCTGGCTGCTTGACATCGGGGTTTCAACTCATAGGGTTTTCAACTCGAGAGGTACAACATGCTTCAACGCTTCAACGGTTGCAACATCCTTGTGACCGTGGGAGACCTACCTGTCAGGACCCATCAGTTTCTGACGCGCTAGGCGTTATAGCTAGGGTGTTTTTCCAGTTATTTTTGGTAACTTTTTGGGTAGTATGTTCCATTCCCTGGGCCTGTTTTGGATGATGATGGGGCCTGGTAATGTATAGTAGTCCCCCAACAATGTAGACCTCTGATGAACACCCTAGATTTTTTTTGGGGGAGGGGTAGTTGTAGTGGTAAATTATTGATTGCTATAAATTAATAGTTTCCCTTTGGGCTTGCTGGGATTTAGTCATTTCAATGTTAGGTTCTTTATTCCTTTCATTTTGAATATTGCCAGAGATAGCTAAGTAATGATTAGTAACAATGATTCTAATTGTCTTTATCAATTTGCAATGGATTATAGAGTTTTCTAGGATATTATTTTGGAGGCCTTGGTTGTTGAGCGGGGGTGATTAATCAAGAGTCAACATTAGGTAGCGGCACGGTTTCCACTACATTCTTAGTGGGGATGTACTGTTCTATCTATCTGCGGGTCTATCATAGGACCTTTTACTCACTGCTCTACTTGGTGCTGGGTTCGTGCGCGTCAAGGTATAAGGCCCCCAGGATGTGCTGGGAGATGAACCAGGGATCCGAACTGAGCGCAGTCAAAAGGGGCAATTCGAGCAGTGCGTCCAATGCAACCAACTAATTCGAGTGCTATATAGTGCTATCAAACGAGAGTGGCATCTCAAATTTCACGTTGGGACTTGTCACAAACTAGTTTCAGTACCCATACACTCCATGTATGGCATATATATGCCTACATTGACCCCCCCGGCAGCACCTCAACCGATCGGCATATATGGCAGTCCCATCGGTCGCGTCTGGGCATTGCCTAAAAACACCCACGTACTTCTTCGCACGAAACCCGGGGTAGGTAGCAATATGACCTCCTTCAGCATGCGTGGACGATTTCTGATGCGTTGCGAATCTTCAAGGCCGGTTTCATCATGGTACATCACCTGGACCACCTGATTTCCCCAACAAAAACCCTGGACTTCAAAGACCATGTAAAAAACTGGGAACCACTCTGGTTTTGTGTAAGGTCTTCAGTAAAAACCATGGTTCTTCGGGCTTCGAACCCTCAAATCCATGCTGAACTTCAGCGCCTCGCCGTCCTCAGGTGCCGCCAGCTCCGCCAGCTCCATCAGCGGCCGCAGGGCATCGTCCACGCTGCCCAACTTCGGAGGCATCACTCACGGCGCCGCCGCGACCATGGAGCCGGGGAGCACCACCAGCGCGTGTGAAACAGGGGGGGATGGACAGGTGCTCTTCTGGGTGCTCTTCGTGTGTTCGCTCACGTTTCCGGCAGGGGAAACCTGTTCATCAAGGATGTTCCTCTCGCTGTTTCCCGAGCAAACAAAAGAAACCGTTGAGTTGAACCGCTGTCGCCGTTTGTGCTTGCTCAGCGGTGTGCTTGCTCAGATCTTTGGAGACGCTGAGACAGCAAAGGCAGTCTTCAGTCTGAACAAGATCTCCCTTTTTGGAGGTGACCTCATGAAATAATGCAGTTGGCCGTTAAAAAAGTCCTGTCACTACTCCGAAAGGTTACAAAAAAAAAACAAAGTAAACTGGGATCTGTGGACTTGTTCTTCCACTTTTTCATCACCATTGGCCTTTCCTGCATCTCACGGGTACCGATCTTCCTGCCAAAAGTTTATGTGATGTTGGAAGGTCACGACGGCTGGTCAATGTAAATTGAACATGCAGCCATTCAGTCAAGAAAAACAACGTAATTCAGTTGGTTGGGAGGAACACCTCATACACTGCGAACACCCGAAGTTGACAAAAAAAAAGTGTTTGTCTTCGAATGCATCCAACAAACTATACGAAATTAGGGACAAGAACACATATAAATATGAAGCAAGCAATTTCTTAATATACAAAGAAGACCCACAACACAAAAATCGGTGTTCAATGCAAACTTTCTTATCAGGCTCTTCACCTTAGAAGCCTTGGAGATGTGATGATGACATCAAATAATGTCAAACCATGCGCAACGCAGTCAATATCATGCATAGAAAGAGATAGAAACCATTTGTATTACCTTAGCTTCATGTGCCACCAGCCACTAGTAGCATAAAAGGCAACATAACAATTTTTGATCATATGTTTTCTATAGTTTATGTTTTCTATAGTTTCAAAGGATGCCTATCACAAACATCTTAAACAAAGTCAATGTTTTGGATGTTGTGATGATGCAAATGGCAATAAGCAATGCTTCAAAAGTTACTTCTAGTAGAACAGTTGCAAAATGCAAAGTGCAACATAGAAAGTCCAAACAAACTCTATTCATAATATACATATATAACATGCCTTTACTGTAGTTACGTCCAGACGTCCAGAGGTTCATTCACAATATCAACAATACTACAACTACTGTGTTTATGGCACATTGGCTCACACATGTGTAGCATCAGTGTATCTAGAGCTGCTTTCCTAGCTCCGCTTTGAAGGTGGCTTGGGTGGGTGGCAGGGGGGGTAAAACAACCACCGGTCACCTGAGGAGATGGGCCGTTTGGAGCCCTGAACAAAAGAATAAGCTTGACCTGGCAATGTCGTGTCAACTCCTTAGTATTATCTACAGTTGGCCAGGAAACCTGCTGAGTATCGACTAGTTCTCTTTAGACAGGCCGAGACCAGAGCCCCAAACGGGCGAAGACCCGCCTGCGGCTGCTCGATGACGTGGTTCAGCTCGGGGATCGCGGCCAAGACGCCATCTGCGAGCCGCCAGGTCCTTGGAGCGGTGCTTGATACCCGGAGGTCTACCGCGGCGGCGGAGGTAGGAATTGATTCCAACAACCATGGTTTTACTAGGAGGTGTTGAACTAGAAAACCAGGTCGTTCCCATTCTTTGAATGGTCAAACTGAAGGCTAAAAAGTATAGGTTGGGAGGATCTCGAACTTGAAGCACCAAAAATGTATGGTCACCAAATTTGCTTTTCTGGTGGTGGATCTTGTTTCGTGGAGTTGTTCCTCAATTCTCTCAACTAAGTGCTTTGCAAGTGATCCACCTTTTCCGGGGTCTCTTTGCGGGGTCAGAAGGACGCGAGTAGAAGCTCCACTTCGGGTGCCGGGTGCTTGCGGGAGGTGCTGGGAGGTGGCGGAAGAACTGAAGAAACAGGATCGAAAGAAGTCGGACTCAGAAAATCACGAAGTACTGTATATCAGGACACCCGGACCAGGGGCTTCCATTGATAGCTGTTTAGAGGTTAAGGGGTGTCCATTAACCACCCCTTGTGGGTCGGATGGCGCCTCATTTGCGCACACATAATTCCCCTCAAATCCGCACACAGACTTTTTTATTCCCGAAAGCACCTGCGAAGGGTTTTTCCTTAAGCACTGCTGCCTATTTCATCTTCCTTAATCTCTTTCTCTTACTTCATCTTCCCCACTCTCTCTTCCTTACTCTCTTTCTCTTACTTCATCTTCCCCACTCTCTCTTCCTGACTCTCTTTATCCTACTTCACCTTCCTTACTTCATATTCTTTACTAACTTTCTCCTACTTCACCCTCACAACATCATCATCTAATCATCACCTCATAGGTTATTAATCTCATATCATATCATATTATATCATATCATGTTTTAATATCATATCACATCAATGTCATAACATATCATATCATATCATGTTTTAATATCATATCACATCACATCAATGTCAGATCATATCATCTCATATCATGTGATAAAATAATATCACATCACAACATAACATATGAAGTAGAAGTATCAGATCAACAATATCAAAGTACATCAGAAGTAGATATTGATAGGTAGGTATTGATAAGTGGGTATAGACAGGTAGGTGTAGGTAGGTAGGTGTAGATAGGTAGGTGAAGATAGGTAGGTGAAGATAGGTAGGTGTAGACATCTTCCTTAAGACACCTACCCAACTTCACCTACCCAACTTCTTCTTTATTCTTCTCTTTAGGCGGCGGGGCGGTGCGAGCAGGTCTTACGAAACGCAACCCTCTCGTGGAATCGTGGCCATCGATCGCGCGCGCGTGTGGTGAGACGCGAATCGCGTTTGTCCGTGAGCAACCCTCTGCGGAGATCGTGCGTGTCGATCGCGCGAACGTGTGGTGAAACGTACATTTTTGGTGTGCGCGGTGCGTTCCGCCATTATAATTCTGGTGACAAGGTTTTGTCGATTTTGCGTTTCCCCATTGTAATTCTGGTTTCAAGGTTTGCCCTGGAGCAACCCTCTGCGGAGATCGTGCGTGTCGAGTGCACGAACGTGTGGTGAAACGTACATTTTGTCTGAGCGCGGCTGGGCGCACCATTATAATTCTGGTCACAAGGATGTCGCCAATGTGCGGTCCGGACCGCATACTCATTGGGAAATGCGATTCCAAGGTCTGTGCCCGGTCTGTGCCCGGATCGTTCCCCCATTATAGTTCTGGTCGCAATGATGTCGTGAATGTCACCTCTGAACTTTCTACAATGCGCGCTCTGGACGTCATACTCGTTGGGAACCGCGATTTCATGGTTTGTGCTCGGATCGTTTCCCCATTGTAATTCTGGTCACAACGATGTCTCCAATGTGTGCTGTGGACTTCATACTCGTTGGGAAATGCGATTTCATGGTCTGTGCCC